AGGAGGCCTATTTGGTGCATATCTTGTTCATCAGGCATTGCATGGATCATAGAACACTGCACTCAAACAAAGTAATGCTTTTAAAAAAGCATTGTTTATCAGATGAAATACACTCGCCAAATAATCAGAGATACCACAAGTGAATACATACAACCCTTCTGACATAAAACTTCCTGAACGGTGTGGGTAAGTACCAACTCCGCATCCACCCAATCTGTTTTCTTGATTGATAGCCTGGATGCTCCTCTTCATGGTTATCCAGACCTTCAACAACCTGTCGCGGCCATTGGTGCTGCAGTACTGGACGGTTATGATTGTGTGTTCATGGTCTGGACAACAATGAACACCCGGTCGGGTCTGCACAACAGTGTCAGATGCATTTTCCTACTGTGTGCCGCTGCACCGCTCATGAAACTCAATTCTGCCGCCAAAACAGAACATGCGCTACAGCTGCATGATCAAAGGCCTTTTCGGTGACGGGCGTCCCAAGAAATGACTGTTTTTTCGCGACGGCCAAAGGAAACTTTCGGTTGTCGACTTCTTGGTTCGCCTCTATGTTTGGTTGCTATCTTGTTTGCTTGCTATCGCCACACGTGCACAGGCACGCGATGCCCACTCTTGCTAGCACACCTGGCCCGTCTGGCCTTAGTCAACCAGCCAGTCTGTTTGTGGGTCTCAACATAATGTGCCATTGCCAGTGCTTTACAATTAAAGGGAGGTTTATGTTATTTAGAAAGTGTCAACGTTCCATGTATGCATCTTAATGAGGCCTTGTCCTCCCTATGGATCTGGGGTGTTCCATTCATGAGCAATGGATGCATCACTAGGGTGACCATTTAGGATGGAAGGTGCTGTGACGTTCTCCATCATGTGCCATTGTCTAATTGATGACACAGTGTTGCAGGCGGCAAGTCAATCCAAGAGATGAGGTAAGAGAAGAAATGCTGGCGACAAGCTAGAATGGACTCAAAGAGTGTTTCTCACTAAGAGGTGGAAATCTGAATGGTGGGAGGACGTGCAATTAAGGGACTGATTTTTTGGAGCACTCTGACTGGTTGTCCAGATGGTGAAGCAATGTGGGCAATGTGTTCCAGCAGGGTGGGAGCTATTCCCCAATGGGTGGAGGACCTCACTGTCAATCCACTGCCTCCTCCATCTCTCTCCCCTTCCTTGACCTTCTAGCCTCCTAAACACGATCAGAAGCTTGATGCAAAATTATATCCGATTGCTCGCTTACCGAGGCTTCAAAGACCTGAATTGAAAGCCTATTTTCCCCAAAGCTCTGAGAAGGTGCCACAATCCATAACCTAAGTTACCACCACTGAGGATTTTGAATCTGGTCCTGTTCTACGATGGAATTCCACTCACTCACTGTTTCTTTTTTTCATATTTGGTGCAGGATCAAAGAGGATGACAAGCTCATTCAGAGTGAAGGGGTGGAATCCTTGTCTGAGGCAGAGCTTCGCGCTGCGTGCCGGCAGCGAGGTATACTTGGAAGCAACATGTCTGTTGAGGAGATGAGGAGTGAGGTAAGTTTCCTATACCTTCTGGAAAGAAAGCGTGCCAGATCACCTCTGACCCTGCTGGAAACGAAATGAGAATGAAAAGGAGATAACACAAATTTGTGGCATAGGGAGGAGCACCCTGATAACACCAGGACTTCTCTGGTTTGCCTTAGGACCAACCAGGTGTTCTGCATTTGCATGATGCATGTGGCAAGGTGCAACCAACACCCTTTAGGCGGTAGGACGGTGCGGATGCAGAATGCTTGGGCACATCAGGAGCCCACATGTAAAAGGGAAAAGGGAAAAGCCCGGGTTTAACTTGGTACTCTCCATCCTGGCTAAATATTAGGGAAACTTAAGCTGCTGATACCCACATGTAGCTGTTGATAAACACATCAGGAGCCCGAATTCTGGCAGATACAACAAGGTACGGCCACCGCTGTTTAGAGGGGGCGGAGAAAGAAAAAAAGACGAAGCCGAAGGTGCCTGTCTAATGTGCTGACTCTCCAGAATATGGTGCCCAGAGATGGTAGGTTTTCTGTTGTGTAGATGGAAACCCCTCAGAGGCAAGCTGGTTGCCTTGTGAACCCACTGGTCCCCATATTTTGAACGGTATATTCCTCTACATTTTGGAACTGGTCAGGATTTGAATTGCATGAGGATCGGTCGATGAAAGTGTGTATGATTCGACAACGTGGTGGTGCCATAAACCCACAAGCTCCTGGGTTGTGGCGACTGAGAATCAGTGTGTAGATTTTGACAATGCTGAGCCAGAATCTCTGGAACTGAGATCAGGACCGACTGGTGAAAAGCCTGTCGACAAACTGCTTTTGCACGGATGCCATGAACGGAAATCCTAATCTTAATCAGCATGCCGAATAGAATGATCTGATCGAATGCGATATGATATGCTCCATAGTCTATAGCCAAGGGTTCTAGTTCCCAGGACAGATAGTCTTTATGATGATCGGATTTATGGCTACTTTCTTGAGCCTTTTCTGCAGCTACACAGATGTGCAGTATCGAATGACCAGTGCATTCCCAGCTATGGTGTTCAGATGCGCTGGTTAACCTATCGCTGGTTAACTTATCGTGAAATCGTGGATTGGGCCTACTGGATGGAAAAGGCTGGTGTTGCTGCACCTGCTCCGGTTTGTTTTTCCAGGTGAGGGGCAGAATTCCACATTGGAAAAAAGAGGCTAGGATACACTGGTGGTTTATGAGAAGAAGTTTAGGATGTCTGCAGGCTGTGGACACACCAATTGATAAGCTAATGTTGTTAGGGAACTCGTCTAAGGCCCATGGATCTTTTGCACAACTGCCGACCGCCGACCCTGACCGCTGACCGTATTGCAGCTGACTAGTAGGGCCGACCGGTCGGCGGTCTGTCGACCAGTCAGAAAACAACCATCCACTGATTTTTTTTCAAATCTGAGTGGGGGCTGTACCGCGCTTGCTGCGTACAGCCCAAATCCGCTGAGAAACTTTTGGGGATTTGGTGGTGGTGGTGGGGGGGGGGGTATATGTGGGGTAAAGGGGGTATTGGGGGCCGCTATGGGACTGTTGGTGGGGTTATTAGGGGCTCTGGGCACACACAAAAAAAAAAATTAAAAAAATTGCTGGGTGCCGAAGACCCCCGACAGGAAGGTGCCGACCAGTCAAGGGCCGCCGACCATTGGGGTATGCAACACTGACTTCAAATGAATTGTCGGCCTTGGAGAACATCAGGCGGATCACCCCCGTGCATATACCATGTGATATGGGTGGTGGATGGGTTTTCATGGCGGAGCATTGGCCTTTCTGAACTACACACTTGGCGTTGTGTATCAGTGTGCTAGGCGACACCGGCATCTGTTATGCATCCCACTGTTTCTGCATATCAATTGTTACTGTCTAGAGACAGGCATTCGACATGATTCCAGTGAAAAATCAATTATCTTCAGAAAGTTCAGTGCAAAGAGGTAGTATGCTCTCATGTACAGTGCAAGTCTGCTGGGTGGCACCTAAGGACAGTGGACCCTGATGACGCATGATGATGGTGATGATGATGGCAATTGATGATGATGATGATGATGATGATGATGATGATGATGATGATGATGATGACGACTGATGATAATGATTCCATGATGATGATTCGATGATGATGACAACAGCAATGAGCTGTGTTCTGATAAAGAATACTACGACTGTAAAGAGTATAACACAACAGGGAGAAGAACCAAAATGAAAGGTGAAAGCGAGTAGAAGAAATGACACAACTTGGAAAGAAATTCATGAGTGGTTGATGAGTATGGACCTCTAAAATGAACAGAATTACTTCTTTCTTTTAAATTTAAACAGGGACTTGTTGTCCTGGCTTCGTCCTCTTCTCGGAGCCCCAGTCTGGTTCCTTTCCCCTTGAAGTCCAAAGAACACAATACAAGATATACCCACAACGACTTCCATTCTGGTGGAAGTAAGCCCTAGACAGTATTGATTGCTCCGTAACAGGAGGATTTACTGTCAGGAAAGCCTCATCCTTCATGAATTCCTCTGTCTAGATATGTGTAGGCTGTCAGCTGTGCAACACGGCCTATAATCCCTCGAGGTTGGGCGTAGGACGTCGGCTTCGCCCAGCTAGAAAACCATCTCTTCCTTTAACCCTGATCGCAAAGAACGACCCCCTGATCGCAAAGGACAACCCCCTGATCGCAAAGGACCACTGGGGTTGTCCTCTGAACCCTGCACTGAAAACGAAGTTCATAATATTGGACCTCGACTTCCTTGTGGCTAGTGATCCTGGCATCCGACAGCTGTTTCTGAATTCTACCAGTCGAACCATCTGAGCTGGAGTTCATGATAATAAAAGCTGCAACCTTGCCATTTGGCTAACCAGTATGACTTGAACTTGGCCTTAATCTCTCGTTCAGCCTCTGGGTTTCTCTGGATCGAGTTCTTCACCTCCTGTCATTTGCAGTTGATTTCTGCTTTGATTATCTTGGGTTGGTACCCGCAGCTTATCCCTTGTGTTCGTGGATCCGTTCAGAGTGGTGCTACATCTTTTTTTTCCCATGTAGATCAGACCAAATGAGTGTTAGTCCATAGCAGAAGCTGGAGAGCTTCGGGGAAGGGGGAATGGAATCGGTGATTCCATAGTGCACTACCATCTTCACCCGAATAAAATGCCTGGTCATTAACAAGCCATAACCCATGCCATATGTCTCGTAGAATGTCTGAGGGCCTACTTGGCCTCCCTCAGCCCAGGCCGAAACGGGAGAAAAGACCCGACACTGACTTTTGTCAACTGTAGTGACACCAACAGTCAAAGTCCAAAGGTACTCAGTCCAGGCCACCGTTCAAGCACACACACTTGTTTGTATGCAGGTACCCAGACAGCATCAGGTCCAAGGGGAAGTCTGCAACTGTACACAATCGGGGCCCTCGGCTGTGAGGCAATCTGGACGACTGAGGGAACAGGACCCGAGGCCAGACAGCCTCGTAAAATGCTACTTAAAGCCTGGCCTCGAGGTGGTCAGCATTCAGTCTTGCTATGCTGCTTTGACGCTGGCTTGAGTTTGACTAGACGCTGGCATTATGCTGGCTCGACGCTGGCTAGACGCTGGCTGTGCACTGGCGATGCGGACGACGCCACGGAGTGGAGGCAGCATGCTGGCGCTTCTTGTTCTGTGCGCCAGGCATGCTGATGTGGTGCTGCCTCTGGTCCACATTGCATGGGGATGTGGTGCTACCTCTAGTCTATATTGCATGCTGATGTGGCGCTGCCTGTGGTCTACATTGCATGCTGATGTGGCGCTGCCTGTGGTCTACATTGCATGCTGATGTGGTGCTGCCTCTGGTCTACATTGCATGCTGATGTGGNGTCTACATTGCATGCTGATGTGGCGCTGCCTCTGGTCTACATTGCATGCTGATGTGGCGCTGCCTCTGGTCTACATTGCATGCTGATGTGGTGCTATCATTGGTCTTCTTTGATGATGTGGCGTATGCTACCTGTCTCGAAGGCTGACGTGGCGTTGTCCATGCTGTCTACATGAGGTGACTGGTTGCGAGGAGGAGGAGGATTGGGATCTGTGGATGAAGGTTATCGGGTACTCACCTGAGGTTGACGTCGTCACTGGAATCTGCTGTGTCTTCATGGTCTTCACGAGATAAAAGTGCCACGTGGCACTATTGTGTGTGATCAGGATTACTATACTTATCATCATCTACTGGTTGTTGATGTGGAGAGGGAAGAAGCCCGGAGAAGGAGAGGGGTTTGAAGGGATTACTATTGTGCGATCTTTAATCATCTATTCCACCTTCTCCTCTGTCTGTTTCGCCTCCACTCTCTTCTTCTAATGGTAATGAGATACTGTTTGAGTTATCACTTCACGATTTGGAGACTTTGTTGAAGATATTGAGACTACTGATGTTTGACGACTGCTGAGTATCTGCCAGACTGGGTTCATCACAAACGCTGCATCTGGATTGAAAGTTGCCCCAAATGCAGCTATAATGACCAGGTGTTCTATTCGGTTGAAGACGGTAGCTCAATGGCCTCTCTATACCTGATTAGGCAATGAGCGATATGCTCCTGTTCCTGGTCAGACATTACACAGGTGGCAGAATTACTTGGTTCACTCTTTTTTCTCCTGATGTGGAGCCAAAGATTGACTGGGAGTGCAACGCTGGGAGTCAACAATAGGAGGCTTCAAATCTTTACTGGTGATGTTGCCTTGAAAATTGAAAGTCTTCCGTGGCACTTCAGAAATTAGGGTGCCTCACCCTCTTAGTACTTTCCTCCATCTCCTTTGGATAGCTGGTTGAGGTCTTCGCTGTTTACGAATAGTTTGTATCCTTGCTTAACTGAGTAGTCCATTATGGGAGTGGGAGTTTTGTTCCTTGTGCCAGAAATGGGTTGTCGGGCCCGTTCTGCTGAATCAAATTGTAGGTCTTGTAGCGCTGTGTCAATTGCATGATTAGTTTTGGCCATAGACCTACTACCATCTCTTTCGGTCCTTCGTATGTGATTGATGTGCCTCCTCATCTGCGCACGTATGCAGTCTTTCACGCATCTAAAGTTTCTAAACTGTTTACATATCTTGATGATAAATCCTTCAAATATCGTGAGAATATGATCCCTCGTGCAATCAATGGTGGTAGACAGGATTACTAATCATACCAGGTTCACTTCATGTATCACCCGTTGGACGATCTCTACTAGATCTCAAAGACAGAACTGCTGCGCAGCACACCTCCCGTTGTTAGTGCATATGAACGACAGATAGTTTCCGGTGCTGTACCAAAATGCTCTGCAAAACTCACTGCTACTGAGTATACACGGAACCTGTTCGCTATGTTTGCTTATGATGTGTACGTCAGGGACTCAGATTGAGTTACTCGCTAGAAAGGACCTTGCTCTTTGGGGGGGGTAGTGTAAGGACCTGCCCAAACACGGACTGAGAACACAGCTGATTTCTGAGTTTTGCCGCTAGAATGAATGCCTTGCTGAGATATTCGCTTTCTGCTGATTTTTCTGAGTCTGTTTGTGTGCGTGCCTGTCTGAGTGCTTGTCGGCTTGAATGTGTGTGTGTGTGACCCACAAGGGTGCTTGTTTGTTTGGGCGGCCCTGCAGGGCCGGTACTTACCCGTGGCCGTGATTTTGAGGGTTGCAGTGGGGAAAACACTCAAGTAGCGGGAGTAGGCCCGCGGCACTTAGAACAGCGGGGAAAAACACTCAAGTAGCAGGTAGGCCGGTACCATCCAAAGTAATGGTAGATGTGTCGGGGACTGGAGGTCGAGCAGAAGAAGACAAAGTTGGCATTTTTAGAGGCCCAGTAGCGGTAGGCTCTAGGTGGGTACCAGTCCAAGTAGCCTGTAGTCTAGGGTCTGTGCATACGATATCAGAGCCTGCAATGCTGTTTCCCTCTGAAAGGGAGGAGGTACCAGTTGCTTGGAGGCTGCGCGACCGGGACGTCACCGCTCAACAGGGCTTCTGCCTCGCTATATCTCCAGGAAGAGCCAGGAACTCTTCCTCATTTTACTGTGTAAGTCGCTATATCTCCAGGAAGACCCAGGAACTCTTCCTCATTTTGCTGCGTGCAAGTTTGGCAACACACTGCTGGAGTGCTGGTTGGAGCAACACTGGTTGGCACCCAGCTCCCCACATTGGCTGTGGTGGAGGAGCTCGGGTAGGACGAGGAGGGAGAAGGGGGCTAAGGGAGAGGAGCGCCAGGGGTACTTACCTGGCTATGGTGGATTTATCTTCATCACCTTGGTGGACACGCGGTTAATGGAAGGCCCAAAATTCGGGGTTTTTCGCCACATCACTCCAAGCAATGTCGTGGAAAATTTTGCGAACAAACTATGCAGGCTCATAATACAAACATCGAAAAACGAAACAGGCAAAAAAAAACTGAAAAAAAAAACTCAAAAGGACTATAAAACCCTATTCGGAGTAGCTTTCGGAGTTCGCCAATTTTTTTCCCGAATTCGGTGTTTTTGCCAACTTCTTCGTTACTCGTCCAAATTTGCTGAAACTGAATATAGATATACCCTCAAGCACATACATATCAGAMAAAAAAAAAAAAAAAAAAAAAACAAGAAAAAAGCTGAAATTCAGGGAAATATGGCAGCTTCAGTGAAAAATTCGCCGAAAATAGCACCACCCGAATAGCACCACCCATTAACCACGAGTGGCTTGGTGGGCGCTGCATCTGGAAGGCCCTGTTGGGGGCAGAGCTGCACCAAGAAGCTTTGAGGCCAAGTCAGGCATGGTGGCCTGAGAGGAGGAGGCCATAGCTGCTTTGCGTTGTCTTTTGCACCTCAAGGCAGGGCCCTAGTAGTCCATCATAGCCTCGCCCTTCATGACGAGGAAGGTTAAGGGCGGCCATGGCTATGGTGGACCTCATGTTGTGCCTGCAGTAGAAGAAGCGGACATTGATTCTGGTTTGCCATTCATCATTACTATTATTAGTTGATTGTTTGAATAAGAGGGGAGGAGTAAAGGAGGAGTAGTTTGGTTGGCAAGAGGAAGGGGGAGTTATCATTGGTCCTTGCTGGTGTACATCTTCTTCTTTCTTTCTTCTTCTTCTCCTTCTTTCCCTTGCTCTCCTCTGAAGTCCATTCATTTCTTTTTGCAATTTGATGGCATTGTGCTTTCTCGTGAATTTGTACTGCGTAACAGTAAAGCTTTTCCCAGTGAATGAGAAATCCCCGACGATGAACAAAGCTGAAAGATGAGGCAACGAAGCTGAAAGATGGGGCAGCTGATTGAGTGTGTTTGCAACTTCTCTGTAAGGAAATCGGCTAGAGATGTGGCATGGAAGACAATATTTTTTTCATTGGCTGACGATAAACCCGTCTTCATGCACACAGAGCACTGTTTCTGTAAAAATCCCAAAACACTAAGAGGGAGCGTGCATTCGTGTGCTTCCACATGTTTGTCCATCGGTGGCTTTGTCTTTTCTTGTGTCTGTGCATATTTGATTTCTTATTGCAGTTGTTGGAATGGCTGGATCTCTCTTTAAATCGTTCCCTGCCATCATCTCTTCTGATCCTTTCACGGTGAGTGTGTTTCCTGTGCTGTGGTGGTACGGTTTGTCGCAAAATTTGAATCCCCTCTTGAATTGTCTGGGTTTAGAACATCGATCCTGCCCAAACACGTGTTTGCATTAGGTTACAAAGCCAGCGTGATGGTATAATGAGTTATTCAACTGTTATTGTGCTGAAGCATTGACCTCTGCACAGGTATGCCGTGCATTGCATCTGAGGGATTTAGTGGTAATTCCTGACAGTTATGCTGGTGAATTGTGGTGAACTAGATTCTGATCAGGTGTGATGGTGGTTTTCTAGGCATAGCTTTGAGTAGTGAGGAGCCATGCTAGCGCTCTTTGGAATGCGAGCATCCGTGTGATTTATCAACAAAATGACTCTGTTGTTAGCCGCAAGCCAGTGAAAAGCCTTGCTGACCATGCGAAAAAACGTAGATAATGCCAGTCTTTGTGCTTCGCATGGTTCTATCATCATCGTTTCTGAGGGTTTCTATGACTTCTGGAATGGGAGGGCGAGTATGAGCAAGAAGCTTGGGAAAACAAAAAAGGATCGAACCAAAGTCTAAAACGAACCTGAATTATTGTAGCCTATTGTAGATAAGAAACATTAAGAATCCATTAGGAACTGGAGCAATATTTAGTTTGATCAACTAGAGGCAAAGGAAGAAGAGCTTGTAGGTCAAAAGTACCCACCTCTGCATGGTCACTAGTAAGTTCACATGCGGATAGTGCTGTTTTCTCCTTTCCATTTCTGAGACAAGGGCGGGCAAGAGAAAAGATGAAGAGATCCTGCATGCACAGACTCCACACCACCTCCAGATGGTGAATGCGTTTGCCAACTAGGGTTGGCTTATAGGCAAATGTAACAATCCTGGCGCTGACATGACATCATCTCACATGTCGCAGGGTGATGCGTGGGTGTGGATAGGGATGCATGTGGACCTAGCAGGGCTCATGGATGCGAGGGGCAGTGTGAGAGGGTGAGACTCATTTGTTCTGCTTCACATGGGGTCCATCTGGATGCATGCATGAGAGGGTGCATATGCAGTGTTGTGTACTAGGGGTGGGATCACCAGGTGATGGATTTCATTCATGTCAAGGGATGCTGTTTTTGGGGGAAGAGGTGACCCATTTTCTCTGGCCTGGTGGTTTATTTGCAAACCTGGGGAATTTCACAACTCCAATTGGCAGTGGGAGAGGGCATAGCTGATCATTTCTGCTTCACGTGGGGTGTTCTTGCATGCATTTCCGGGAGGATGAATTGGTGCTGGCATTGCCAGATGATGGATGGGTTTATTCATATTCAGATCATTTCTTTGGGAGCCACCATGGGCATTGGGGGAGGGCAAAGCCTCCCATTTCTGCTTTACGTGGGGTCGTTTTGCAGGCATGTCTGGGAGGATGCATGCACACTGGGGTTGGCACTGCCAAGTAATGAATGGATTCGTTTGTATTTGGACGCCTGTTCCCTTAGAAAGGCACCGTTTGTTATAACTTGGTGGTTTTGTTGGTTCTTTGCATCTGCCTCATTTCACTGCGATCCCCTTGGAGCCAGCTCCAGGAATGTCGACAACTTGACGTGCTTTCTCAATCTGTGGGATGACATGGGAAGCTGTGTCCAAATGATGAACCTAGTGACATTGATTAAGGGAGGGTATTGATCGTAGCTACTGTGTGCCATGCCGTGCACAGGTGCGATGTGAGCGTGGATGATGCGTGCGACCACGCGCATAGGTGCAATGGGCTCGTGCGACTGGCCCTAATGCACGCAGATGGTTTTTTTTCTAGGAAGATTTTCATGACCGGCCGGTCTGGATGGGCCGGTCACCTGGGCGTGATGCCCGGGGGGGTCTGACACCCGCGATACCTGGGCATGGGGAAAAAAAAATAAAAAATTGGCTGTGGGGTTTTTCCTCGCTTTGTGAGAGGAGCCCAAATCCGGGCTCTTTTCTTTTTTTGAGAGTTGGCTGTCAAGGGGGGGGGGGAGGGGAGTATAAATGAATTTTGAAGGGGCTAAAGGGGTTTAAAGGGGGGTGCCTTAATGTGACTTTTTTATTTTTTTATATATTTGTTTGATCTTCAGTTCTGTGAGGAATTCTGATGTGACCCTCAGCGCAAAGTTGTTTGTATTGCAATTCTACACAATATATATTTTTTCAGATTTTTTTGGAGGTTTTTTTTTTTTTTTTTTTTTGCGCACTGGCCGGGCCCGGGCCGGGGGTTCATGCCCGGCCTGTCACCCGGTCGCCAAACCGGGCGTGACATAGGGGCCCGGGCGCCCGGGATATCTCCCTAGGTTTTGTGTGTGTGTGTGTGTGTGTGAGAGAGAGAGAGAGAGAGAGAGAGAGAGAGAGAGAGAGAGAGAGAGAGAGAGAGAGAGAGAGAG